TTTACATAGGAACCTTTGTTAACTTCTTACCTATTAAACTATGTGATTATTATTCAAAATAACATTTTCATTGATTTAAGTCTAAATATTTCATATTTATGAGATATATTTAACATCTAAATGTGTAGATATATATTTTTAAGTAATTTAGAAAAAGTGACTGAATCTTTACGATTCACGATTTGATTCGATTCGCAATTCGGTACAAGGCCATTTCGATTCACGATACGAATCCCGATTTGACAACTACAGAATTTATTTCCCTGGAAGTTCTTTAACCTGTTACCTGCATGTGATTCACTTACTTACACTTGCTTAGTGAAGAAAAGCTTCATTTTTTTCCATGAATGAACTCCCTTTAATGTAAGGTGGTGGAGATGGTGCCTTGAAGTCTCTAGAAGGAGAGGGCCACCCCCTCTCCTTATTGTCCTTGAAAAGGGCATGTTTTGGTCTCTAAAGGGAGCCTATGTTTGAGTGTGTGTTTGAGCATGTATAGACTGTTTTCATGCTTATTTTTCCATAATATAACATGATTTTAAATTGGTTTTGGTACTCCATGCATGCTTAGCATAGTTTCCATGTAATGCCTTGTGATCCCTTAACATGTCTTAGGTTGTGTGCCTTTGTTTCTAGCATGTTTTAGGTTTAGTCTTGTGAAGATTATGTGTATATTTTGCCATGTTCTAGGTCTGTCCTAGGTTGTATGGGTCGGATTTGGCATGCATCATATAGCCTATTTGCATTTTGGCTTGTTGGCCTTAAGTATGTGCATGTATAGCATGACATCTTTACATTGATTTGGTGATTTGGGGTCACCCTACATGTTATTTCAGTCCCATTTTCATGCCTATGTGTTTGCCTTGAATGCATCTTTAATGCCTCATAAGCTTGTGTAGCAATGCTCCTTGTTTTGGCACTTGTGCATGCCTCTAAATTTGAGCCACTTAGATGCCATCTAAGTAGTCCTTTAGCCTTGTTTTAACATGCTAAAAACCTGTTTTTAGTTGTTTAATGCATGACATGATTGTTGTGATAAATGTGCTTCAAAGCTTCATGACTTGCCTCAAGTATTTGGACCATGCTTGCATGCATTTGCTTGTCTTGTTTAATGTGATTGGGCTTCATTTTATAGCATGATTTTAGAGCTCATGTTGCATGCTAATCGTCCATGAAATCTCTTGTCAAGTGTGCTTGAATGTTGCTTGCTTAATGCTTGGGGTTTGGACCATAACATGTGTATGTGTGCATGTGTGTTTAGCCTCCATTTTTGGGCATTTTGGCTACTGTTTTGGGCCTTATTAGAGCTGCCCAAATCTTGTATAAGTCCATCTTTACATCCATTTGCATGGTCCCATGTTTGCTTGTATGCTTGCATAAGCTTGTTGCCATGTCATGTTGCATCCTTAGCTTGCATGCTTAGGTTGCATTGCACCTTGCATGCATGCCTTGTTCCTTGACTTGATGATAGGAATTGGGCCTTAGTTTGTTTGATCGGTTTGCATGCATTTGAAATCAAAGTTGCATACTTGGTTCTTTGGGCCATCATGCATGGAAATGCGTGATTGGTGGTCCGAGAATCGAGACACATGCCCCTTTGAGTCATTACCATGATAAGGGACATGGTTGGTGCATATATGCCTTGAAATGTGCTGCCATGTTTTGCCTTGCCCTCTGTTGCTGTCATTTGCAGATTCTACAGGAACACTCTGCCGACCGGCAATGTAAAGTGCCGACCGGCAATCATTTCTCTGCCGACAGCTCCACTTTGTGCCGGCGACCACATCCCACTGCCGGTGGCAATTCCATGCAGCCGGTGATGTCTCCCAGCATCCAAGGAAGCAGTCCTGAGGTTTTGGCAACCTCCAGAGGAGTGAAGGAAGGAAAACAGAGGCAGCTCACGTATGGCGGCGCATTTCCCGAGGCGATTTACTGTTTTCTTAGTTTAATTAAATTTGCTTAGTTGATTAGGCAATTTGTAATATTTAATTAGCTTGCGTAGTTAATTAATTTGTAATATTTATTTGGTTGCTGACCGGCCATTTTTGCTAGCCGACGACCTTCCGGAGCATTCTGCAGATTGAGTGTATGCCAGCTGTGCCAGCTGGAGGGCACAGACTGGATCCTCCATGAGTTTGAGCAGTCATGAAATGACGTGAGTGAATGTCAAAGCCCAAAGATGACCCTTTTGACGAGGTTGCAAGGCTTGGGCAAGAAAGCAAGACATAAATTAAAAGGGTTGCGCCCGCAAGCTGCCTACATATCCTTTTGCAAGGAATCAAACCAGCGTAGTTCAGGGGCATGATGCAAATGATATGCAGGAAGACTTTGATAATTGGACTTATACGCTACACGAAGCCGATTTGTATTCAAAACAATGCAATGTACTAACAAGTACAGGCGAGGTGCGCAAGATAGCGCGATCCATGACAGCATGCTTAACATGTGGCTAGATGCTTATGTGTTAAACTGCTTTGAATGCCTGTGGGTGAAGGTTGGGTTGTTTGAGTTGGAAAAACTCGTTGAAATCCGTATTTTAGCCTACTTGCGAGTAGCAAATTCCAAAGCATTTTCAAACCAAACGGATATGCAATGTTTATTTCCAAATTAGGCAATCTAGTCTATACTTGTTTGCTGCGCGCATAACATAGTGATTCTAGGCTAATAATTGGTTATATGCAATGTTTATTTCCAAATTAGGCAATCTAGTCTATACTTGTTTGCTGCGCGCATTACATAGTAATTCCAGGCTAATAATTGGAATAAGAACACATATTGTTTTCAAAATCGGATATCATGGTTAGTAGAGGCCGGTCTTCGGACCGGGCGAAAGGGGGTGCTCATAGCTGACCTTCCCCGATCGTACCCAAGCTCCCGAGCCGAGACAACTCCGGTGATGACGGACATGTGGCCTTCGGCACCGAGTCAGGGTTTCCTAAATTTTCCCATTTCAAAATATTTAGGTGGCGACTCTGTATCTGGCAAAGCAGTCCATGTTTGGCACTACTTTTTCAAAAAAATCTGTTTCTCAAAACGATTTGCCAGATTTGGACTCTTTGGTTCAGATTAAAAACCGCGACAACAAAATTGAGAGTCCGAACTGTAGTAGCATAAGGCCCCCCTCCGTGGGCACGTCTACACCGCCCCTAAATGCATGCAAGATAGACCCAAACCGTAATAAGAGGTACTTGCTGAGGTTAACCTCAGTGACTTACCTAGGTAGAGTAAGCCAGTGTTTATCAGCGATACAATGGCTCTAGCAGCTAAGGCAGAATTGATAACATTACTAAAACGATACAGTGACGTCTTTGCTTGGACATATGAAGAGATGCTTGGTCTTAACCTATCCCTTGTCACTCATGATCTGTACACTTTTCCTAACTCTAAACCAATTAAGCAGCATGCTCGAAAGTATCACCCTGATCTTGAAGCAAAGATTAAGGTAGAGGTAGAAAAGTTGCAGAGGGCCAAGCTCATTGAGCCTATATAGTACCCAACTTGTCTAGCAAATATTGTGTCTATGTAGAAGAAGAACGGTCAGATCAGGGTCTGTGTAGACTTTTACGACTTGAATAAAGCCTACCTGAAAGATGAGTTTCCATTGCCCCATGTTAACACACTTATCGATTCTAATGTGGGCATTCGATGTTCTCCTGCATGGATAGGTTCAGTGGTTATAACCAGATCAAAATAGCACTAGAAGATGCAGAAAAGACGGCTTTTAGAACGCCCTTAGGAAATTTTTTCTATACGGTGATGCCTTTCGATTCAAAAAACGCCGAGGCAACCTACCAACGAGCTATGCCTCTAGTGTTCCATGACATGTTGCATCATGAAGTGGAAGTATATGTGGATGATCTGGTGGTCAAGTCTACTAAGGCAAACCGAGACCTCTATGACTTGGAAAAAGTTTTTCAGCGTTGCCACAAATTCTGCCTAAAGATGAACCCTCTCAAGTGTGCCTTTGGTATTACCACCGGCAAGTTCATTAGCTTCCTTGTACACCAATGGGGGATCGAAGTACATGGGGATAAGATCAAGTCAATCATGGAGATGTCACCGCCACACTCTCAAAAGGCCTTGAAGAAATTCCTAGGTAAAGTGTCATACCTCAAGAGGTTCATTCTAGCCCTTGCAGAGATAACCTTTTCCTTTGGGACACTGCTGAAAGAGAATCACAAGTTTGAATGGTTGCAAGAACACCAACATGCGTTTGATATGGCAAAGAAAACACTTACCTCTCCACTTACAATGATTGCTCCACAACCCGGAAAGCCCCTGCTATTGTACCTGACCTCTATACCTCGGTCTATTGGAGCTCTACTTGTCCAAGACATAGATGGCATTGAGAAGCCAGTCTATTACATCAGTCGCAAAGTCATTGGTGCCGAGTCGCGATATACCCCAATTGAGAGGCATTGTTTAGCCTTAATCTTTACAGCGCAGAAGTTGTGCCACTATTTCTTGGCACACCCGATCCAGGTTGTGACCCGGAGTGATCCAGTACGCTACTTGCTGAGCAAGCCCGCTCTAACTGGAAGAATGGTAAGATGGCTCTTGGCTCTAGCAGAATATGACATCACTTGTGTTACTCCCAAGACCATTAAGAGCCAAGCACTTGCAGACTTACTGGTCCAATTCCCATCTGGTGAACATGAACCTGTAGAGGTACCTCTACCAGGTGAGGTCCATGTCTCAGTAGCTGTAGTTGAGACTTATTGGGACTTAAAATTTGATGGAACTTCCGAAGTTGGGAAAGGTGGAGCTGGCATAACACTAACCAGTCAAGAAGGAGAGAAGTTTCAGCCTCTGTTGGCCCCATATCGCACCATCATTCAAAGGTTGCTCACTTAGTTTGATTATGTCTAAATCCAGCATACTCCTTGAACACGCAACCGTTTTCTCGATGCCTTGGATACATTGGAGGGCAAATGTGGATATACTAGATGATAGTATAGCCATCGTCATCGAGAAAAGAACAACACCAGCAATATTAGCCGAAGAACATACAGAGCAAGATGTTGAGGGGTGGAAAGCAGATATAATACAGTAGTTGAAAACATGCCAGGGAACAATCAGACCAGCAAAACTTGCATCATTTCTACTCCTCAGAGGAGAGTTGTAATTTTGTGGTCCCAATAACCTGCTGGCAAGGTGCATTGGTAGACAAGAAGCAACTTACAGACTTAAATAGATCCATGCTAAGTCCTGTGGAGATGGAGATATCAGTCTATACCGACGGATACAAAGGCAAGGGTATTACTGGCCAGAGATAAAAAAAGAAAGTACTGGGTTGCAAAGACAATGTGCAAAGTGTCAGTCTCATCCTAAGAAAGAGGAAGCCCATTTCTTAAGCAGTGAAGAATGGAGGCAGCCATATATTGACTACTATGGAAATGGCACACCACCTGAGAACAAAGTCGATGCAATTAGAGTTAAGAGACGGGCCCTCCGCTTTTTCCTTGACCAAGGCAAGCTGTACCGAAGAAGCTTCGAAAGGGAACCTTTGGCGTGTTTATCAAAAGATGAGGCAAATGAGGTGTTGAGAGAAGCCCACAAGACAGAGCATCAAGGAGGGCAACGATTACATAGACACCTTATTCACCTCGGTTACTACTGGCCGACAATAGAAGAAGATGCTAAAAACTTTGTGAGGAGATGCCAATCTTGCCAAAAGTTTGGGAACTTGATACATGCACCGGAGGTTGAGCTGCACAATATCAAGACCCCTTACCCATTTCATACTTGGGCATTTGACCTGGTAGGTCCTATAGTGCAACAATCCAAAGGCCACAGATGGATACTTGCAGCGACTGAAGTTAGTACCAAGTGGGTAGAGGCTATACCGATGAGGAAGGCAAACGGGGCAGGAGTAGCCAACTTCATCAAAGAAAACGTAATCTGTAGGTTTGGCATACCCAAAGTAATACTGTCTGATAATGGAACTCTTTTTGTAAATAGCCATGTGGGAAGACTGTTGAACGCCTAGGCACCACAAGTCTGGTCTATACTACCCACAAAGGAACGGACAAGCTGAGGCGACCAACAAAACCCTCATCCGAATACTAAGTAAAATGATGGATGAAGTAGGGGGCACATAGTTTGAACAACTCCCCATAGCACTCTGGGCGTATAGAGCATCAAAGAGGAAGCCGACTTAGGCAACCCTATTTTCCCTAGTATATGGGTTCTGAAGCTATGTTACCAGTTGAGTTAGTAGTGCCCTCAGCAAAAATGGCTATGTCAACACACTTAGTTCCAGACAACAGAAAGAATGACATAGAGGCAGCCGAAGAAAGAAGGGATCGGGCCTCATGGGTAATGGAAAAATATCATCAATCCATAGCTCGTGCCTACAATTAATCTATTCAACACAGGAAGTTCAACGATGGGAACTTAGTATGGAAGACAGTGGACGCAATTATGCGGGTACAACCAATCCCCAAGTTCTCATCCAGATGGGAAGGCCCCTACAAAGTTGCTGAGGCAAGCAGTAGGTACTACAAGTTGACAAGAGTAGATGATGGGTTCAGAACTGGCCCTATCAATGCCAGGTATGTCAAAGAATATTTTCCTTAATTTCTTTTGTCCAAAAAAAAAAAAAAAAGAGAGTTATAAGTTTCGTTGTTAATATTTCCAAAGGAAAGTGTAAAGAAATGTCATACACTTAGTAAACATGTTACTCTCATATACACTTAGTGTGAGGAAAGTTTCCATACTTAGTCAAATTTTATCCTTGTAAAAGCTTAGTCGTGGTAAAGTTTTGTTCACTGTAAGAGTTTTGCTTATCTTTAGAAGCTGTATAAAAGCATTGTAAGGAGGGCAAAGAAATGAAATTCAAAGTACTACAAAACATCCACACTTTTCATTAAAGTCAAACTTCCATAACATGATTACAATGTTTGAAAAGAAGTTGTGACAGAGAAGAAGAAAAGAAAAGGCACCGCAGGCGCAATGAAATAACAAAATAAAGAAAAGAAAATGGAGGAAATCATAACAAAGTAACAGGCACATCAAATCAAACCCTTCAAAAGGGAGTCCATCAGGGTCACATCTCGAGGCAGCTGGGCAACCAACGCAGAATCTTTCTCTTTGAACCGAGCCAGGTTTTGCCGATGCTACTCCAAGGCACCCTCACACTCCTTGATAGTCTTCTCCAAGGATACAATCATCGCCACATTGTTTGCATGCTCAAGGAAACCATCAATTTTTTGAAGCATGTCCCTTGTCCACGATAGGTCCAAACCGTTCCTCTCAAAGCCGCTTAGGTTAGCCTCATCACTTTCTACAAACTTGCTGGGGGTTATCAGAATCTGCTTGATAGCAAGTTCATGAATGAATCTGGCAAGTAACTCTAGCAACGCCGTCTGTGCTATAGACCCAGGAACATTAAAAGCAGTAAAGATGCCCAGATACAACACCTGAATACGAGCAAGAGTGGGAGCAGCTTCGAAGGAGACCCAATAACTTAGAAAAGAAACTTTCTCTAAGGACTGAGGGGACTTGTAACACCCACCTCTCAGTTAGTCATTAATTTTATGATCAATTTGAATTATGCATCTATCTGTGCCTTGTATGCTTATTTATGTGCATTATGTTTGTTAACAGATATGTTCACTTATGAAAATACCTGTCTAATTCGTTAAATCGTAGGGCTATAAATTAATTACTGGACGAAGTGGTTAGAGTTGATTCACCTCAATTAGATGAAGTGGTGCTTTAATAAATTAACTAGGTAAGTCAAGTTATGAGGCTCTAAGTTACTTACTCTAAGATAGGTAAGTTAGATAGGCAATTAAATATCTAGATATATATAAATGTGACTTCAATTAGAAGGAAAAGAGAGAGATATAATCTGTGTGAGAGAGAGAGAGAGAGAGTGTGTGTGTGTGTGTGTGTGTGTATGTGTGTGTGTGTGTTCTAGAGTTTGAGCTTGGGTGGGTGATCAAGAAGAAGAATGAGAGAATTTGAGACAACTTTATCAATTAACACATTAAGGTAAAACTTCCTCTTAATTTCTTGCATGAGATTAATTTTCATCTTGAATTTATGGAATTTGAGGAGTGAGTGAGCGATTGAGTGGTGTAAGTTGAGCTTGAAATGCTAATAAGAGGGATTTTCCCATAACCTTGCATGTATTCCATAACCTTGCTCATTCTTATGGTTTTATATGAATTTAAGTCATATTTCTATGGTTTTGTTGAGACATAGAATTACCTTGTGCATTCCCTCTTTAATCCTTAAGTGCTTATGAGATTAAGGGATTTGATGTATGACTTTTAAGCCCTATTCTTGGTAATTGTTTTTATACCATGTTTCTTAATTTTTGGTCCTTGATTTGAGTGAATTTGGGTTTGATTTTTAGTGGTTTGAAGTTCCAAAAAACAAAACAAGGCAAAAACTCGGTTTTGGAACACCCAGAACCACACGTGCGGTAAGGGAGCCCGCACGTGGGGGAGTGCATTGGCGCACATGCGGCGGGTAGGCCCGCACATGCAGAAAATAGGGGAATGTTGGGGAGCATTCTACTTAAAAAGCACCTAATGGCGCACGTGCGGAGAGGGTCCCGCACGTGCGACCAAGGACCTCCATACGTGCGGCTGTTTGGTGGTCTCAGTTCCACTTTTCTGTGTTATTTACCCCACTTCCGGACCTCCGTTAGCGTATTTCACACCCATAATCGATGTCCATTAGCATTGCATGAGCATTTAACAAGAGTAAGCTACATTTTAACCAATCAATTCCTAAGTCATGGAATTAACTACTTGGGTGTTTGGTCCATTAAGTGAACAACACTTATATCTGTTTGTGTAGGTCAAACACCTCGTTCCAATCATCTACAACACGGAACTGACTGTGAGTAACACTGTTGTACAAATACGTTTGATTTCAATTACCTTTTCTCTGTTTCGAATTTGTGTATTACTCTGAATGTTTCTTATGTTAATGAATAATAATTCTATCACTATTTTCATTGTTTACTATGGCAACCCTGGCACCATTTGTATGATTGTAGATCTGTCAGTTCTATTTCATGGAACTCCTGTTTAATATGTTGTTGGCTATCACATCTAATCTTCGGTCTTCATGACTACCTGTTTCGTCTTCTAGACCGTCTGTACTTCATGACCGTCTGTTCAGTCTTCTAGACCGCCTGTATTCATTGCTTTAAACTATACTACGTGTTATGTTGTGCTTCTCAAAAGTCATATGAACCTGTTCAGTATGTGTTTTATTTTACATTATAATTCTTGTTCAAAATCCCTTTGTTCAATTGATACTCACTGGGCTCTAGCTCATGTTTTAATATGTCTTGTAGGTGACCCAACTCAGGAAAGAGCATAGTGGCGTCGACCTTCCTTTGGTTTTGTCAAACTAACTTCTGTGCCTCACTGCGAGGTTCTCATCTGTCCGAGTTTTGGGGTGGCTAGTGTGCACCATTTTGTAACTCGCTCATGTGTTTTTGACCCGTTGTCTCGGGCATTATTTTTGTTTTCAATGGGTGTGACTTTTCTCTTTATTTGTCTTTTGGCGAACTTGTGATAACATGATACACTTATGCATGAATGTATTTATATAACCATAGCAATGTCTTTTGTCTAATGTGTATTCACACCTCATTGGACATTTTGTTTTCTCATATAATAGCTTCCGCTAGCCTCGTTAATTGCTTGGTTCAGTCAGGCCTTCGGTAATAGCGGATTACTGGCCGGTTACGGCACTAAACCTATAGAGGCAGGTTTGGGTTGTAACAGGACTCTTTCACATTGCTGCCAGCTTCAATCACTTGAGGGAGACTGGTAGAGCGACCAAAGGTTTGAGGGTGGCGCACTTCCCCTGAAGATGATTGCCCAGCAGCATTAGAGTGAGTAAATGCTGGCTGACGACTATGTGAACTGGTCTTGTGAGAAAGACCAAAGCTGCCTGCACTATCATGTCGCTCCTACAAGATGTCATCCATCTAGTAGTCTCCAACGTTCAGATCTGGTACAACAATGATATCTATCCCAATACAAAAACCTTAGGACACCCCAAGGTTAGCTAGCACTTTTGAAAAATGAGTGGGGTATAAGTTTGCCAGCTGTTCAGAGATTGCCGAAACAACTGGGTCAGAGGTCCCAGCGACAGCAGTAATGTTGTGGGTGGCTAAAGTGACAGCTACCTCTGCAAGTCGGTCCAAATTTAGAGGGACCACAACAGGAACAGTGGAAGCAGCCGCTACACTTGCACTCCCCTCAGCCACTTGGACGTTCTGAAGTAGGGTCTGTTGAACCAATGGAGACTCAGTGGACTGGAAGGAACCACCAGATGTAGCTCCAAAGGGAGGTGGTGTAACTTCTAGCGGCTCTCTCACACCGCGATTTTCCTTTGGGGTCTTAGGGACAACATCATCTCCACTGACAGAGGAACAGTTAGAGTGCACTGAATCAACAGGGTTTGGAGGCTCTGCACCCTCAGCAACTATACCACCCACTACAACTTCCACAGTAGGGGGAACTTGTTCATTTTCTACAACCTCCACACCTGGCTCAGCCTCAGCAACTAGCTCAGCCTCAGTAGTTGGTTCGGCTCTAACACTTGGTTCTTCTTCAATGTCTAGAAGTACCGTCCTGCGGGTCCTAAATCTTGTGACCCTTGTAGCAATGGGAAGGTTATCGTCGTCGTCCGAATCTGAGGAAATTTCAATGGCAGTAGAAGAACCTCTGGGGCCCGAATGTGGTATCGTCAATGGGCCCTAAAATGAAAAAGATTATGTGATTACTAAAGTAAATGTAAGATGCCCAAGGAAGTAATGCAAAATATTTTCTACGTATGGATGCCTTTCGGAGTCTCTTCTTACTTGGTGAGGCATATGCCTCAGCAACTGATGCTACTGCTGTTTGGGCTGCCCTTAGTCTGGAGTGGGTCATGCGTACTGTTATGCCTACTTGAGGGGGAACAATTTGCAAAGGTTAAATAGACATTGCCCCAGACGGGTGAGGCTCTTCC